CGTGGCCCTACATAAGTATCGATTGCATAAAGACTTACGTATAATATTTATAATATATTAATAACAGCCTATTAAAAAAAGGGTCTTAAGTATTCTACTCCTTCTATTTATCAATGAAAAGTAGTTATAGTACTAATGTACCGTTGGAGCTAAATACAGTATTCTCACATATAGCTTAATATTTCCAAGCGGTGTGTTTATGCATCTTTTATTCAGGTCCTAACCACTCAGGACATATGATCGCCAAGTATACTAACGCTAGCTGTTTCTCACACAGCATGTTTTATTCATGCTCTCAGTTTGCTTCGACCAACTTACTCTGTATTTATATTCGTTGCATTTTATTGACTTCAATTTGTCAACATACAATATATAAACATAAAGGTACATATTTACCAGTCATAGTATGTACAGTTCAGTTTAAAACCTTATCCAAATAAGCTAAACATTTATTGTTAACGACCTATGTATTATATATAACTTATAAGAATGGTTAATCGTTGATTAATCAATTTCCAATTTAGTAGTAACTGGGCGAGAAGTATCATCACACTTAATAAATCAGTTTGGATCGCAAATAGTGAACATTCGCGCTGGCGACGCTCCAAACTGAGATCTATGGGACCTAGTTGGCTGTGGACACTCTTAGTCACTGTTAACAACTTTAATACTATTCATATATACATATATATGGATTATATATAAACTAAGTAATAGTTCCTACAGAACTTTGTGATAGTGTAATGGTATAACGATAAACTCGATATGTATATTATAACATAAATATGTATGTTGTGTATCCTTATGTAATTTAAATAAATAATATTAGTATTATTTCGTAACAAAATCAATGATTGGTTAATTGGTTGATTGGTAAATTTACGTTGTTATAAATTATTAAAAGATTCGATAATTGTTTAAAAACTAAATTAATATTTATCAAAGACAAAAATAATAATTCGATATTTCATGTAAGTTTGCCATGTCGTGTTTTTATAACAATTTTGATATGTTGTTCTCCAAACTCACTGAGATCACGATCATGAATGACAAATATATACGAATTAAAATAATATTAAAAATACATTTCTAAGAGCAAAGATTCTATAAAAGTATAAATAAATAATTACGTTGAAAATTATTACTAAATTTATAATTAAAATTAAAATAATAGAAACAAACAATATTTTTCAGCGTTATTAATATTTCATCCATCGGGTATAGCTCGTGCTTAAAGCAATTAAGCTGTGCTATTTTCACACGATTTATTTTATTTGTAATCTAGTATTTAATATATAACGATATAATATATCCAATTGATCTATTGATCAAAGCTGTTGAATGTCGTAAACACGGTGATTTGAAGATGAAATTAAAAGAGCGTAATCAGTTAGCATCGTGTCCAAGGATCGGACATGTTGACACTGATTGACAAACGACCACCGAGATATATCGTTCACCTCAGAACACCCTTTATTGGAAAATGTTCGAACAGGAATTGTTTTTAAATTGTATTCGTGGTTCAGATATTTAAAACGTAACTATGTCTGTTAAAATTATTGTTTATCGTCTAATAAATGACTATATATTGTGAAATTTATTACAAAATGCAACTTAAACCTAGCTATCCATAATTCTTATTGATCGATTTGATCGAACTAACATTCGTACTTCACATTTGATTTGGCGTAATCGAAAAATATTATTTTAAGATGATTAACAATCAAATAATATATTATATATATTTATATTATTTATTATATATATTTCATATTATTACTCTATTAAAACATATATATCAATTTAAAAGTATATTTTTATATGAGAATTACGTGTAATGAATCCCATATCTTTAAATTCCTTTATCAAATCACCTCAGTACTAACTGGGAACATTACGTCCGTTGTTCAGAGTTCTATCTCGTATCACGTGTTCCGTTAAATTACCGAAGCGAATATCAAAATTAATTAACATGTCTCTACATTCTACATTATTAAGCACGGATACACCATACACCGGGTGGATACAAATTTAATTAATAAACTCGTTATCTGAAGTGGCAATTCGGCAACCCCGCTAATGTTGTTACCGTCTGCCGGTCTTTGGCAGCTTACTACATAATGTGCTAACTTAAGGATTATAGCGAGTACATGACGTGTCTCTAATGGCTAGGGAGTATCACTCGTATTATAAATTTATCTGTTGGATGTTGGCCTCTCAATGGATTTAGAATATGGACAAGTTTGCGACAAGGAATCAAGTTTGTGTTATGATGGCTGACAAATACAAATGCTATACATAGTAACGTATGAAAAAAGGTCCTATAACGAAAAATTTACAGTTCGGAAATGATTCATTTACTGCCAGTTACTGTTTTGATATATGTATGTCTGTATGTGTAGTGTAGTCTAATTATATAGTACAAGTAAAGGGCTAGGGTACCGACCACGTGTGACGCGTGCTGAACCAACGCCGTCGGTGCTTAGCGGCAATAAACGTGACCGAGAAGAAAGTCTACCTAATTTACTCTTAGCTCACATCCGACGAATTTCTTAATGATAGTTTCGTGTTGCTACTCTTATTTTGTGATTTAATTCGTACCAGCAACGACCCCATTTCACATATCAGAATGTGCTGTTGAATTAAATGTAAACATGTATGTAAACCATAATTTTTCCGTCGCTTGAAGTATTAAAAGTCGATACAATGAATTAAGCCATAAATCAAGTAGACTGAGTGCAGTGGAAGCGTCATCAATTACAGGCTGCCTTCAGAAAAATGGTCCCTTCACTAACAAGCGACGTATAAAATGAAATATGGGAAATGGGAAAAAAAGATAGTTGAAGAATATCAGAACAAAGATGAAGGATTCGAGAGGTGTAGTTTGGTGAAATTGATTGGGTCACATACATTATACAAAGCCAGTAACACGATATTCTTTATAGATGTTATCATATTTAAAAATTACGCAATTAAATAGGACATTGAATTGCAACAAATAGAGTAAAATGTTAAAACTAAACTATAAATAGAAATTATATTAACCAGTAAATAGAAATTATGCCGAATATTCCACTAACCCAATAACAATAGATCCAAAAGCATCCTTCCAATGTGGACCAGATCACAAAGACGGCATCTGCTCTCACAGATGATGCGATGACAGCTTTACACTGCGCATACGCAGCCCTGTCTGAGTTATGAGCTTTGAAAACAGTTTTGTTATTATCATTTTTATGGAAATTGTGATGTAATTACCCCAGATTTTTGTTTTCTTTTAACATTATTTATCGTTGAATATACAAAATTAAACATACGTATTTCAAAAAATTCCTTTATTTAAACTGATAGAGAAATAAGTTTTCTTTAAATACTAAATCGGTAGTTTGTCAATTTTATTCCATATAATTGGCTAAGTAAACACCTATATAAAAATTAGCAAATATCTTGTTAAAGGAACAATTTTATTAAATGAGATCTAAGATTTTCGCGAGCACTCATTTAAATGAAACTAATATTTTCGGATTTACTACGCGTTTTTATTCTGACTATATTCTACATACTCCCGACGTTTCGGCCACTTTACTACAACCATGATCACGGTTGTAGTAAATCCGAAAATATTAGTTTTATATAAACAATTTTATTTGTTCTTTGTTATTTATTACCCGTTAATACAATCAACGATCATTGTCTCCAGAGACGTAACATCATTGTCAGATGATCACTCTCCGTCGTTTCACAGTTACTTGATTTAAATTACAACATTCATTAACAGTTGTTTATTCAGTTGTTGGAATCGAAATTTTTATTGCTTCTAATTTATTAGTTAAATTATCTTTGGAACTGGTTATATGTTTATTGCTGTTTACTGTTACTTTGAATATACATTAGATTCGAGTGAAATAAGGAATGATTTGAACGAACGAATGAATGGAACGATAAGTGAACGATTTATAAGAAACAAATAGAGTTTCGTGGATTATTTTAATCCATTAATCTGTAGATTACCTATCAACGAGATATTAAAATTAACGAGATGTTATTTGAAAGGCTTCAGTAATTGGTGTTGTTATACTTCTGTTTTACTATATTATTATATTTATAATAGTAGCGGCTGGAAACACCGCTAGATTGTGTATAAATTAGCAATAGGTTAGTCGTAAAAGGCTAACAAATGCAAGCGGCTGAGATGTGAAAGCTCTCTAGGGTCGCTAGTTAGTAGTTTACGAAGCTCATTCCACGGATTTACATACGGAGACCCTAATAAATGACTTTTATATTTTAATTTTGTGCAACAAAAGAATTTTATTGGCGGCATATATATTAACTATATATCAAATTTTACAATTATCATACCCGTCATATGTTGTTGAATAATAACATATAAGTATTGTATATAAAAGTAAATAGCTTTTGTATTTTTATTACTTTCTTGATGAGCCAAATTCTAGCGAGTGAGCAGTCGTTCAGATTACATAAAAAAAACAATATTTATAACCATCCTTTTGTCTTATAAATTCTATATATTCAATGGACAGTTTGTCACGTCTTTACCTATATGTATAGCTATAAGTGTAAGCGAGGCAGCTCAGGCTAATATAAATGGTCTACATTCCCGTTGGACGTGTGCAACAGTTGGCTAATGTGCTCATATGTTACCTACATCCACACACGGGGGGGTCATTCTAAATTATCCTGGTGTATCTGCTTTTAACGTGGAAATTCCCTTATATTTGGAATTGTAATTAACATCAAACAACATATTCCTTTCAGCCATATAAAAACATGTCTTCAGTAAGTTAAAGCAATATAATTTTAACACGCCTTTTTAAAAATAAATCTAATTTCGCACAGAGTGCATAAATAATTAAAAGTTATCTAATCTATTACAATACGAATTAGAATTCTAATTCCACCAAAAAGTAAAACAATGAATGGAGTAGTTTCCATTTGTTGGTGACCATTGGAGCACAAAATTAAAGTAATCCTTCTTCCAGAATGCAACTGCAATGGTCACGCTCGTCGTTGCCGCTTCAACATGGAACTGTACAAGCTATCAGGTCGAGCGAGTGGTGGGGTCTGTCTCAAGTGTCGACATTACACAGCGGGCCGGCACTGTCACTACTGTCGCGAGGGGTACTACAGGGACCCCACTAAACCCATCACTCACAAGAAGGCTTGCAAACGTGAGTATTAAGTTTATTGGTAACATGATACGGCGCTTATACAGAGAGATTCGAGATGATAATGAGTTAGATGCAGGGTAGGGGAGAGTAGTAGGGTAGGGTAGATGACCGTTTTCGAGTTAGGAACTAAATAATTAACTGTTTCAGCAATTTTGGCAATTCATCGCTATTTTTATGAGGAAAGTTATGTCAAAATCAACATTATCAACATAATCAAAAATACTAGCAAATTTTGTGAGTTATAAATAATGATAAATTAAACAAAAATTGAGGAATTTCTTGTAAACAAACCTTATGTAGGTTCCATCATAAATACTTCGTATTACAAACAACTTTGGAAATAAATAATGCTTCGGTTTCTGCGCTCGTTTTGTCCCCGTTGCAGTTCATAAAACTATTTAAAGCAATGAGCTGAAGTCATCACGAAGAGAGTATAAATATGCTGAAATGTTTTTGAGAATCAAATGAAAATGTTGATATTTTTATGCACATTCCTAATAATATGGGACATGAAACAGATTAAGAAAAAACAGAAAATGAATAAGAAAAATGGTTTGTTATCTTAACAACATAGGTTTTATATATATGAAAGATGTATATATATTTTAGTTTTAAAGGAATAAAATGCTTTTACAACATCGTTTATGGTCGTCCGGAAAAAGGTAAGGTCTGACGGTTATAGCGATAATATGAAGCACATCGTCCCGAATCCATTAGTGTAGCAACAACTTGAGTTGTAAAAAACGTTCAGAGTTAGCCATCGGGTCAAATACCGATCGCGAAATCCAATTACGGGAATGGCTCGGAAAGGTGACCACTTGGACGGGTCGTGGGAAGGTTTCAATTCGTATTGGACAATAAATAATAACATATATATATGACTGACTAAAATATATATGCTACTGACCATAAAGCAAACTTATTCTTACCTTTTTAATACCCAAATTCTAAGGCTCTGACACGAGGGTTTTAAAAATCATTATTCTGCTTGAAATGTATGTAAATTTGGTATAAAACTAACGACTTTTATAGTTATTTATTATACCCAAAATTTTTTGGTTGATTAACAAGCAAGCGTTCATCGTCACAGTTTATTTTCATTATATTTTCGACAGCGGAGCTCAAATTGTTGACCCGATTTGAGTAATTTTAGCAGCTTTTGATAACTGAGACTGCAATACGACGCTGTCAGAAGATCACTCGCTAAAGCGAGGGACTAAATATTACCCAGCTATATGTATGTTACATTTAAAATGAGAGAATAAAGTCTGTAAGAAATAATAATATTTGAAAATATTTATTATCATGGATATACAAAATGTTTATACTACTCGTATATTTTAATCAATAACAAAATTCTTCTAAGAAAGTAAACTGTTTACCCACAAATATCATATTATAAAAACTAATACAAGCCTTGTTAGAGTTCTTGTACACAATGAAAAACATTTCCTGCAAGTTTTTCACAATAGCAATTTAGCAGACCCAATCCGATTTTTGTCCCGAAATTTGCTCCTTACATAACAGTACCCTGGGGACCCATATAGAGACCCATTTCCTAAGGGCGTGCGAAGACTTTCGTCGATTTCCGTCGGTTTTTATGGCGGAACTATTCGGACACGAATGCTTTGCGGGCTCGTTTATTCGAGTTCTACAATGTCAGTACTCTCGTGACTTATGAGGGTTTACTTGACCAAAAACTATGTGATGATTCGGGAACTGCTTTCAATTATTTGTTTGTGTTCCCTACCGGGTTATTTTCACTTTATTTCGAGTCTATAAAGCCGCTGTATTATTTTTACTTTTTGCTCAAACAATAAGTGTAAACACATTCCAATTTATTTTGTTTCATATTGTATTGTGTGTTTATTTAAAAATCAATTCCAAGACTTTTTACATTTGAATCAATATTTGTGTGTTATAAAGACATATAGTTTCAAGGTCTATCATTTAACTCCTTAATTCCACCAGCTTGTGACTGTCACCCGGTGGGCGCGAGCGGTAAGACCTGTAACCAGACGAGTGGCCAGTGTCCCTGTAAGGATGGAGTCACAGGAACTACCTGCAACCGATGTGCGAAGGGCTACCAGCAGTCTAGGAGCCATATTGCACCTTGCATACGTAAGATTAGATACCTATATTCAATAGCATAAGATATTTTCAGTACTCTGTCTATAACGAGAAGTAATACTTTATTTCATAATAAGTTATTCCAGAAGATAGTGAGTACTTTTTGGAAGTTTCACTTAATTAAAATATTTTTTTATAAATAGCAACTATATCTTAATAATCTGACAGTGACTATTCTGATCTTTGGATGGACTTCATAACTCTTTTATATGTATCACCAGTATTTTTTGACCCTTTATTTATATATTTTTTATCGTGTATGTATCAGGTATACCTCGCGTGGTGACAGCGGTACAAGCTATGGAGGCGGTGGACGCGGAGCCCGGCCGCGGTAAGTAGTAAGTGGACCTTCATTGCACTCTCGCCTCATCACACCGCATGCAAGCATCAAACACGGTACAAACAACAGAAAACTAAAACACACTTGATGAAATCTAACTTTCGCGAGTATTCATTTAAATGAAAGTAATATTTTCGGGTCACTACGCGTTATTTTATTATTGTAAACTACATACTCCCGACGTTTCAGTTACTTTACAGCAACCATGATCACGGGCAGACGAGATGTGAATGTCTGTCAGTTGGTCCTGTTATTTATCATCTATCGTCAATTTTTCTTAATTTTCTGACGTACTCTCTATACCTGCACAATTCACTTGTAAGAGTATAAATGAAAGAAAAATTTAAGTTCCACTATATACTATTTCCGAGGAACGTTGTTACATACACTTAGATATGTTTCTATGGAAAAATATAAAATCTGATCAAACAAACATATAATCATAAAGTTCTAAAGTACTTTAAATTTATGGAGTCGATTGAGAATTTCTTTACAATATACAAAAAAATTGTTTCTAAACGTAATTAACATTTTATTGTCAAAACAATCTATTCATAATTAATACAATCTTATTCTTTATCCATTATAATCATAAATCAGGAGACAATTTTTTAAATGTTATCATAATGTCATCGTTCAAACGATTTCTACCAATAAAAATAATTGTCATTTGTATCAGATCGGTCGAGTACTTTCACCTCATAACAGTTTTAAACGGGTTTTGTTTAAATAATAATCGATATGAATCAGTTGCACAATATTGATCGATACATCCGGTACTAGTGACGTTACTATTAATCAGAATCACTCATTACTTCATTGAAATGGCGTCAGATTTTTGATTTCCATCAGATATAAAGACTTTATAATTAGTCTTGGTAATTAAATATATGACATTGAAGCTATAAGCCTTTTTTATCAATCTATATATTTAAATCTTTCGTTGTTTTCTGTGTCAGTACCGTGATTGATTGCGTTTATGAGTTAATGTATTTTTTAATTCAAATAAACCAGAATAATAGTTTCTAAGTTATTTGAATACATGAACTCAAGTTAAATTTGTTTGCACTTTACCTACATACGGAAATGTTTTGTCAAGTTTGTTTCCAGGCTTGAAATATTCCATCGCCAATTCATTACCCTTTTATTTTGTATCCAACGATCTGTTTGTCAAGTGCGTGAAGGTAAACGATTTGTAGTATTATATGTGTCGTTTTATTAATAGTTGTTGTGTGCTTTACATGTTTCCTCGTTTACCGCATTACAGTAGATAACTTAATTAAACCTTTTGTTTAGTAAGAAGTTTTCTTAGATACTTGTCTCCATGTTTTTGAAATAACTATGATTCTTTATATATTTAGTATGACGGTTGTTTTAATCTAATTTGTTGTAATAGCGGAGCAGTGCGGGCGATGCCGCGCCGGCGCACGCACGCTAAATCTGAACAAGTTCTGCAGCCGAGACTACGGTAAGATATATATTATACATATATTATACGAGAACAAGAATATATACTTTACATATTTTACTAATAATACGCAATATACGCAGTATCCTTAGAATTGATCTTTACAATATAACTTCAGCATCAATATTGCTCATGCTTTTGCAAGTAATACTCATGTATACGATCTATGAATGGAGTTCGTCATGCTATCATGATTATGAGTGAATGGGAATTCCAATTGAGACAGGACCTTATAATCATTATATCCAATAATTCCTTATAATAACGACATCCTTTCCCCTTCATCTCCATCTGTAACGTGTCAGTATAATCCTGTAAGTCTCTCTACCTATCTTTTCGTCCCTAACGCATGTGTTCTTCCAGTCATAATGGGTCGGGTGACTGGTCGCGAGGGGGGCGGCGGAGGCTGGGCCCGCCTGGCTCTGTCCGTTCAGGCCGTGTACAAGCGAGGTCCGCGAAGCCGTCTGCGCCGCGGAGGCCTACCTCTCTACGTGCGCGCCGGAGACCTGGCCTGCAGGTGCCCCAAGATCAAGATCAATAAGTAAGTGTCACTTCATATATGTACAGATTCGCTATTTTAAAGTTCCGTTTGTATACATATTTTGTCATCTATTTCATTTAATTAAAATAACGATTTTACTGTTACGTACTGAAAATTACTTTGTGTTGTCAAGAAGCCGTCAAGATGAAGGAAATCAATACAAACATTTTAAGCGTACAACAATTTGAAGTATAAATTTATATTACGTCTATCAAAACTAAGTTTTTATATTTTTCCGTAGGTCCTATTTAATCCTAGGAGTGGAAAAAGAAGGTGCATCGTCTGGTTTGCCGGGACTGACGGTAGGGGATAGAACATTAATACTAGAATGGCGAGACGATTGGCACAGACGCATCCGACGCCTACAGCGGCGAGCGATCAACTGTCATTAGTGGACATCTTGGAAGACGCGAGGCAAAGGACGCGCGTGATACAGCCGACGCTATGGCCTATTTCAAAGGAGTTTGTATTCCGTCTATGTTCCGTGCATTTGAAAAAATTACTGCCATTATAACAATAGTTTTGACTAGTCGATTAAGGATATGTCTGTCCGTATGAAATTGCGTAGTTTTTTTCTATTTGTTAGGGATGCAATATCGACCGACTCTCATTGTATCGATCTTTAAATTCAATTTCATTGTTGTTACTTAATTTCTTCCTCCCTAGGATTTCGTTATACGCGTACTTTTAACAACAAAGCCAATATCACTGAATGAATCTATTTAAATTATTTATATTTAATCTTTGTTGTTAACAGTGCTCTATTTTAATTTGATAAGATTATTTATTCTAATAATTAGATGCTAGAGCTGACAAAAGTTTCGTTCCATTTTATGCATTTTATGTAAAATTGTTATTTTATATAAAAATGTGTGTTGAAATTGTTTTTTAGTGCTGGCAACATATATCATGTAACAAAATGGACGCGTTAGTATTTACGCTCTCTTTTGATAAATGATATTATTTTTTATTGTATAATATAGTTTTAGATCATTTTGATAATGTCTCCACAAAGCATAGTCATAATGTTTTAATGTACCTCATTTATTAAGAAAACATAGTTAGGAGTTACTACCTATTATTTAATAACTCTCTTTGACTTATAACAATAACGGATTTTTTTTGTTCTATGACGTTCTCTTGCCAAAGTGACTGTTTGACTTGGAAGTATTTCTATAAAATAATAATAATATCAAAATAGTATCCTTCATTCACAACCTAACAAAAGGTATGTACAGTATTATTAGCTTTACTAAAAATATTTTTTAAACTTAAGTATAACATTACCGGAACGTACGAACGTGGGTAAAGGTGAACGTATAAGAAAACAATTCCCTACACTCGAGTAATCATGTTCAATTGAGCTGTCAAAATTATAGGTCCGTACAGCTAGCAGCACAATGAAACAAATCATTCGACAATCCGGATCCATTGTGCCTCAAATAGCTGTCAGGCAAACAAATATGGCGGTGATTGTACCGTGGGCAGAATGTACGTACACTTACCATACGTTTGTACCTCTTGGAAATGTTTGGAAAAAAAAAATAATCGTCTAGATAAAGTATTTAAAAGTTAGAGATCGCTTGATTGTATTGCGGATTGTAAAAAGTGTATTTAGATGTAGAATCTATTATCTATTAACCTGTTTCTAGTTATGCATATCTTTAGATTACCTATGTCCCGTTCAAAGTTTTATCGAATCTCGGGGCGTTCGGGATGACTAAGGCTAAAATAATTAATGTATTCAACATAAGTATCTGAATGTAAAATTTTTATATATATATTTTAAAAATTTCTTTTAATATGTCGTCGTCAAAATTATTAGGGCTTACGCACAAATACTGCTAACCCGATATTCGGATTCATTTCAGTCGGAAGATTATTTAGGCTATACTTATTTATTATAAGAGTGTCAATTGAAAGGCATCAAACACGAAAGTACCAGAGACAAGTTTTGTCATAAAACCATTGTCTATGGTCATCGTGTCGTATTTGCGATCAAATTGTGTTTATGGTACCCTGCTCCTGTGATGTAATAAATGTTATTGGTTATATTTATTTAAAATAAAAGTACATTAATATACGGAATTTTTGTTTTATTCGATATTTTCTTGTCATAAATTATATATGAACAAAAACAATAAAATGACTTACAACAAGTAAAGCTATAACTGTTCATAAGATAACAAATGTACCTGTCGAAAGGCTATTCCTTGATTTCCCCCGGGAGCTCCTGCCCTATGGTTCACGTGTTTGATGGGCATTGCTTTATAAAATATTGGCACAACTTATTCAGGAACGAAGGGGAAATGAAATCAAATTTATATACTATGATTTACATTCAGCAAAGACGATTTTTAATACAAAATTAAAATGTTATATGCAAAAAACTTCTTGTCTTCTCTTTAAATTATATACAATCATAACCAAGTGTCACATATATAGTATTAAATAAATATATAAGTGATTGATTCTCTTCAAACAGCCGGCGGTACTTAAACTATTATTTGTTTAAATCTATACAACAATGCGGTGCTAAATGTACGTTTGCGTTTCACAACTTATTATGGTGTATTGTGCGAGCTTATAATGACCGGCTTTAACTTGGAATAAACCCGTGAACACATGCTTGATGAATGATGAAACTGAAACAACTCGTATTTATTTTGATAGATCAAAAATATCTATTGTTTTTTACGAGTTAATTTAAAAAGGTTTCAAAGATATATCTACCTTTTAAAATTATACAATATAAGTATTTTTAGCACGTTTCTTTGAGATCAAATTTTTTGAAGCTCAGAATGGTATTGAGTATAAATATTTTAATTAAAATTTCTCAATAGAAAAACGTCTAGGAGTTATGTCTTCCGTTTTATATATTAAAAATATAAAACAAGAAATTTTTCAATTGAAAATTTAACAACAATAATAAAAAACAGAATGGTTGATCACTTTTTCTTAAGAATAAGCAAATTATTTTAAAAATTATAAGTGATATGTAAAAATAATTGCTATATTTATAAGCTATTAAGTGTAGACTGGTCTTTATACTATCCCATCAGTAGGCAGAAATGCGCCCAATAGATTCGGAATCCGAGCTAACGGTATTTATCTAGTGTTTAGTTCTAAATATTTGTAATCTACAAAATAACAACCATTTGTAAATGATTTATAATGGCTCCGCCAGATTTATAGCAATGTTTATTGTTAGACCGCCGTATAGTGATATTGAGATATGTAAAAATGTATTTATCTTTATGCATTGGACATTTGGTCTTGATTTAGCATAACAAATACAAACAATTCGCTCGTTTCCTTTTAAACAGAATCAGTTATTGCTGAAATTAAAACAATGTTACCTAATGTAAATAAATCACGTATGAACAATGGTGTTTCGTTCCCAGTTCATACAAATAGCATGTTATAATAAACATTGTAACTACCGGCTTGATAGCGAACAGAAAATAACGCCATTGTTCGATAATTAATACTCACAAGGGTTTTGCAATTAGTTTTAATTCCGTAACTCCGATAATGATTCAATATAAAATATCTTATTATTAAAACTACAGAGAAATATCTAGTATTTTACAAATAGCCCCATTCAATGAAGTCATCTATCACGCCTCTAACACGTTCTTCAAATAATGGTCCGGGTTCGAATGCTAAGTCGGTGAAGGCCGTGTTCTCTACATCATTATCATCATCACCAAACAGAAAAGGAGCTCCCATCATCAGCGGCAACAAACCATAATCCAGACGCTCCCTGTACATTTTTTCAAACTCCTTCCTAGGAAATACATCTTCAGCTTTCATATCAAAATAGTTCAGGAATTTTGTCATAGTTTCATAATAAAGATCCTTAAGGTGGTTCATGTGTTGGCGACGGAACTTCTGGTCTGTGCCAGTGAATATGAAATATAGGAAGTCTCTGACCGGACATCCGCAGTCTAGTAACTGGTAGTCCACTGGGACCACTTCAACCGCCTCACCTTCCTGTGATAAAAAAACATTTTATTCCCCTTTATATTTCAGTATGGAATAATAGGAAAACATGAACATCCTAATTATATAAACAAGTTTGTATTAATTTTAGTTTTGATTATTTTAAGTGATACGCTAATAATGGATTGTATTAATATTAATTTAAAAAACATTTTATTTATTTTCAGTTAATTACTTTATTAGCAAGAAGCAAATTAATTATTTATTAATACTTACTTTTTCTCGAACCATAATATTGCTTATTCTGAAATCGCCGTGTGTCATACAGCATATACAATTTCTATCCAAATTATATTTCTTCATCTTTTGTAATACAGAGGATGCAAATTTCTCAATTCTCATTTTTTCGTCCCCCTCAAATAAATTGATTGTGTAAACGGAGTTTTGTTTCACTAATTTTGTTAATTCATCGTTATAAACTATCGGATGTTCTAGTATTCTAATTCTCTTATTAAAGAACTCTGGCATTTTCTTTTCTATGACGAATGAAAGTCCATGGAATCTTGCTAGCTGTTGAATACATAGTTCGGCAAACTTTAAAGACATCACATCTAATCTGTTGTACACCTTAAAACCTTTTCTGCTCAAGTTCTCTAATACTATCATATTATTATTTTTCTGTTGATACGACCGGGCGATATTGTATCTTTCTGTGATTGGAACTTTAGCTTCTTCTTGCACGTCGTGGAATATTTTCGACAGCTCATTGTACACAAACAATTCAATCAAATACAAATTCTCAAGACTGACAGTAGTTGTGATATCTGGATTTAAAATAACTTTGGCGAATATATTAGTTTCTTTCTTTTCATCTTCAACCACGCCCTTGATGTCTATCTCATAGAGACTGCCCAAATAATTGTCGCCATTTGTTTTTAATTTTATTACTTTAATATCATGATCTTTGTATCCTTCTTTCTTAACAATATTTCTGATAGTGTCTTGAAGTTCAACTCGCAAGTCTTCGACGCGCTGAATAATTCTGTTAGCATTTATATCACACATTTTACAGTTTCTGAACTTTCGTCACAAAAATTCTGTAAATTATAAAAATTGTTTCCACGGAATCTGTTTTTATATGACCTTTAAATTAGGGTGTAGACATAATATGTTGTAATCATTGAGACAACGAAATTACGGCATTCTTTTACTTTAAAATGGCAAAAGGAATGATTTTATTGGAACATAAATTCAAAAACTTATACCACAGTTTAGAGTCAGTTTATAAAACGATATTAAAAAATGTCGAAGAAGAAATAAACCTATTTTTATGATAATAGTTAACATTAATTAATATTTCATTATGAATATGCCTTAAACTATGGGACGTGTTATATAAGACAAATCAAACAAAGTGATGATTAAAATTAACAAAGTTGTATAAATATAATATAGATTATTATGTTACATCATAATAAAAAATATGATAAGATTAGATTAAAACATCTCATAAATTATTATTATTTTGCGTTTTAACTTTTCCTCCAAACTTTTCCATCTTCAAATAATAAATTTTAAATATTCATATATTTTCACTTTCGGTAACATTTAAGACCATCTAAAGGTCATGGGTTTTTTTATAGTAATGGGATAAACAAGCAAACTTCTTCCCTGATAGGAAGAAGTTATATATAACTTATAGTCGCCCGTGGAAAGTGCAATATAAAAGATGTTGCAGATACGTTGCCGTTCTTGAGACGAAAGGAAGGATACTGATGGTCCAATAATAATTCTATCAAAGAGTCTGAATTAAAAGTCGAGTTTTTTGTATCGCTAGCACAGTTTAGGCAAGGACCCTCGATAAGAACAGTAGTTGTAGGATCTTCCTGAACTCCATGCCAACGGAACAAGCTCAACACCTCAAATCATACTTAGGCTGATACAGGACAGAAGATCATTACACACGTCAACATGCGGCGATGGGAAAGAGTGGCGAAAACGAAAGGGCAACCAGCTCTCTCATTCATCGTACGAAATGCAGTTTTTCTGTAAGAGGGTGGTACTATGCCCGGTCGAGCCAACACATGTAAGAGCTGTATAACTGACAACAACTGACTCTATCACCTCAAGTTAAAGGCTATAGAAATATTCCTATAAGACTTTCCGTACGCCAGATTGATACACATAAACGGCTCTCAAAAAAGTGCTATAGCCTTTAAATACCACAATTGAACTACAAAATGCTACATTACTATATGTAAAGCAAGTTGCTGATAGAATTGGAACATTTTGAAAATTTTATCCGTTAAAACAATACAAACCACATAAAAAGTGACTAAATAATTGGGACCAATCCAAAGTGACATTCCTTCACAAAAAACGAGCATACACTTCATGACTGTAGCTTCTTTCAAAAGTACAGAATTTTTTTGAGGTACATGTCCAGGAATTAGGCTAAGTGGCAGAATAATTTTCGTAAATTAAAAAATATAAATACATATTTATTTACAAGAATCATAAAATTTCGCATAATATAATCAAATAGATTTTTTTTAGAAAATTAATCTTTTCTTTGTGTTCTTAAAACCACGTGCCATAAACTATGTATTTAAAATTATATATTAATCTCAAAACCAAAAATGACAAAACAATAAAACTTACGAAAAAAGAAATTGATAATAATTTTTTTTTGAATATTTTGAATATTATAATTATTTTAAATATAATTCTGAAATCATACATATTTTATCATGTAAACCAGTTGTTATCGTTCTTACATCACAGTTTATTTTCATCAAATTCTCACGAGTCATTGAGACTTTTAAATATTTATTTTATTTAAAAGTCTAAGCTCGTGTTGATTTGTTAAATAATAAATTCTTTTGTTATGACATTTACTTACGGTAAATAGATTACTAATTGTCAAGAAAACAAGTATGATAAAAAGAACCACGATACCAATGTTGAAAAAATACTTTAATTTGAGAACCACTACTAAATACAAAGAAAAAATATATATTAATTAACTAAGTATAAGGTTCAATTTAATTATTTCTTCCTTTCATTTCTTTTATAAGTTTTATATTAAATTGGTCAATTCATTGACTAAAAACGACCCATACCATGAAACTACACGGGCAAGAAACATTTTTATCTGAAACTTAAAAGGTGATTTGGCTCTACTCAAAATCATAATTAAATAAAAACGTTGACACTGTCAAAATATTCCACTATTATAGTGCGAATGAAACCATAGCATAAAAAAACAGTTTTAGTTATATTTAAACTAGTTACATTACACTAAAACAAGTTCAAATTATTATAAGGTATTTTGAATTATTTTTACTATCTCTGGGATATAATTACATTTTAAAAGTGTTATATATTTTGCTAATAATCCCGTATTGACAATTCTAACTGTTAACAAGACAAATGTATATAATGAATCACGTAAAGTAAGCACTTAAAATGATTATCCAATGTTAGATGAAATTCATTTGGGACTAAGAAAGCCGATTTAACAGTCCATAAAACAAACGGGGCGGAGGAACGACCGGCGGAATTAATACGTCATTAGCGACTTGGATTTACAGAGTTTTTCTCGTATTTTCTTAATTCATGAAGAAAGTTCTTAGGGTTGACTTTTATATTATTTGAGAACAATATTCATAAGTACATTTTTACTTTCATAGATATTGCAACTGCATAACAATGCAGTTACTGTTAATCCACTATAAATACTTATCTCAGAAAATATACGATACTTATTCCTGGTGTTAAACTCAAACAAAGAATTTTGATCTTTCCAATTAGCAGAAGTACGTAAACACTTAATAATATTTAGGTAACTTCTTCATTCCAGACAAAATTACCTCGCAAAGTCACGAAGAGAAGCCAGTCTACACCACACTACCAAGAATACCATAACACAACTTCTTCATATACTTCCTAGTAACTTGCTTACAAACACGAAGCATGTTTTAGGAAAATTATTAACCACTTCGAAAAGGAAACTTGTTGATATAGTTTAAATATATATTATTATTGATATAAAGTTCCGAATATAAAAATAAATAAAAAAGTACAAACTATATATTCAACTAACAGTCCTTTTAGTGAACACTTCTTTATGTTTGTCATTTTTTCTTTCTATTAATCTTTTTACTCAGTATCTGGATAAATGAATAATAAATTATGAACATACTTTCAGGTCTACGGTAAAGAAACAGTAAAATCTGTATATATTAGTAGTTCCTAAAAAATATGAACCACCATCCTGCTTTGGGAGAGCATCATGGGATTTTTGGCATTCAACTTTCATTAATCTTTATGCGCAGTGCAACGTTTTATCGGCTTACCTTTTCTTATCTTTATTTTATGTGATAGAAATAAAGTAAAATATCACTGCAGGTGAAAAAACAAAACATAATCATTAATATTTATCATACAAACATATTATATATAGTTATACGTTCCAAGTATATCTATTGTAACATAGAGATGTAAATTCAGCGTCTATCTGTGGGATACAATTACTTCAGCGAACAGTAGAGGCGAGTTAAGATAATAGCGGTATATGTTAAAACTACCGATAGCGCCATTATTCACACCTGGCAACCCTGAGCCCGCGGGACGTTATCGCACCAACACTCACCGTGATTTATATCGCGATCTGCGGATTAGCAACGGGTTTACCGCTCCTCGGGGATTCCTTGCGATTATGGCAACACTGAAACGATTTCCAACACTATCTAAGTGCATTGCTGTTTGGACTGAAGCTCACATAACTCTTAGCAAACACTTTTATGGACTACAAGAAATAGTTAATACTTTATCAATTATTTAAATATGTAAAAAGTTAATAATGAATAATCAATTCTCATATGACTAAATTATGAAATATAAAGAAAATTAATATTATTTTTTTAACATTAGTGTGATGTTCCATAGAAATCTTTTGTGTAGTTTTTGTTTACAACCTTAACATTTCTAAGAACCATTAATGCAGAGTATTTTTTTCCATTGTTGATCGTATTAAGTCTTTTCTATTAAGACGAATGACGAAGGATGAATTCCGTAAAAAATAAAATAAAAGTTAAGTATTATGTATTATTATATAATTCTATTTCATCATATTACAGTGCATTCTACAGATGTCACTTCTGCCATATTTTAAAAGGCATATTATTATTTCAGTTATAAATAACGATATTTCCTATAACATTACAAATAATGAAATTATTTTTATTAATTTTTTTTACGTTTAAAGTTAGTTACTAATAATAACTCCATATTAATAAATGTCACGTGTATTTTTATTCTGTAAAAAAAGACTGTAAAAATACCATACATTTAAAGAAAGGTTAGCGATATGAATGCTTTCGTATGTCTGAAATAACAGTTAAAATAACATTCACAAATACATATAATGAAGAATGTTACTCAGTATCATAATCATATGAAACTATGGCTATGTAAATATGGCTTTGTAAACTGTGGCTGTGAATATGAACGTGTGGCTTTGATGTCGCCGCAGCTAGACCGTAAATCTGCGCGTGCGCAAGCTCCATCCAAACTATCTATTCATACGAGGCTTGCTATCTTTGTTTTTATAATATATTAAACGGAATACATCAATAATTATTGATATTATTTATGTATCGTTCATTATTATTTAATTATTTTTTAATAACTAGAAAACACTATGCGTAAATTAATTTTAATATTATTTGTAAGAATAATATAATTGTAAAATATAAGGCAAAATGAGTAAAAATCTTATTAAATCTAGAAATGATATTATATTGGCTGTCAAATTTATTTAATAATTTTTGTTGTCTGGCTGTCAAATTTATTTATTAATTTTACATATGACTTTACTTGCCTTTCATTACAAATAAATTATAAACTTAAGACTGAGATTTTTTATAACTTTTTTGAATATTCGGTTCTTTTTTTTATTATATCGCTCAGAACTTATTGTTATCATAAGAATGTTTAATAAACCTAATGACACTTGTAATAAAGCAAGAGGTTATTGATATTTAGAAAAGATAGTAAAATGG